TAGGCATGCTATCATGGTCGCGTGCGCATGCTGTCATGGTGGCATGCGCATATAAGCATATGCGTATACGCAAAGAAACTTCCGAATTGCAATATAAAAAGGTCTTGCCTTGATTTCAGCCACGCTGATTCTGTTACTTGCGAAGCATTGCACAAGCATTTGATTGAACATGTGTGAAGTGTATTCAGTCATGCTCACTTGTTCTCGAACAATCTTGCTTGTTTCAGCACAATACGCAAGCAAGTGGTGATGTAGGCATGCGATCGTGCTGGCGTCCGCATGCTGTCATGGCTGCATGCGCAAATACGCATTTGCATATGCGCAGACCACAATTAGCAATATGAACATATCCTGCCTTGAATTCTCTTGTTCACTGTGCACGTTCTTTTTGAATATGTTTGAAGTATATTCAGTCACCATGACTTATTCTCTGACAATCTTGCTTGCTTTACGCCGATACGCTGGCACATGCATACGCATGCTGTCATGGTGGCACGCGCATATGCGCATAAACATATGCGCATATTCCATATCTTTGGACGCGCAAAGTTCCTCATTGTTTCTTTTCAATTTTTGTGCGAGGGCGGATTCTGTCGGCAGTGCAAATGCTGACACCAAGGCTTCTTCGTGAGCAGTGGCTAATTGAAGCACTGCAGCTTTGCTTTTGAAGCCCGCTTGGGCTAGCTTTGCGAGCAACAGCTCAAGCCAATGGTTTTGACACCGGGGCCAACATTTCTGCTTTGTGTCATACAGAGAACCCACAATACAAGTAGCAAGGAAAAAGGCTTGCTCGTTGTATGCCCCCCTTATGACTCACAACTTTCTAGGATCGTCTATTCAATAACATATTGGTAGCATTTCACTGTTCGAACAAAAATATTTTGAAGCATGAAATTGCCCCGCCACAAAATCTTCTGACTGGCGATGATCTTTCTCCGATGTGGATATAAGAACAAGAAAATCTTGTTCTGGCTGCAAAAATGCGAAATAAATTCGTCGACTGGAGAGCCATGAGAAGCTCCCAAAACAACCTCAGAAAGCTGGGGCTAATAATTGCTGCTGTTGGGTTGCAAAGCTGGGCTAATGATGTCCCACATTGGTCACCAGATCAGTCAATCATTTAATAAGTCGACTTCCGGACAACAACAAACAACTAATCTTCAATAAAGCTCTCTAACACCCATGACATTCCCTGACTCTTCCCAGCACAAGGATGCACAAGGTACCCAAACCCTTCTCAGTGGTTAAACAACGTAAAGATGTACCCCTAGATCTTCAAAGCATCAGATCAAACATTCGCCGCGATCGTTGCCCATCTTCGCCTGATTGAAGAGCGCGGGGAAGGAGCGCGGATGCTCGGCGAAGCTGGGCAACATGCATGCAAACCTCGGAGCGCGGCTTGCTGGCGCGACGCGGGATCACAGGAGGGCGGTTCCCTTTAGAGGGGCCGAGGTCCTTGAGCAAGCTGGTACTCCCCCGGACTCCCCCTAGATTGGATGAGAAAACATTGCTATAGTTTGGGAAGGTTTGTGAAGTCTGATCGATTTGAAGCATATAGGTAACATGACATGAGATAAGAAATCCTATAGACCAACCGGAGGTCAATTGGTGTTCGATGAAAGCATGCGTGAGAAATCAACACAAAGACACCCAAACCTGGCATGAACTCCCGTTTGCTCCAATTTACATCACCCCTCACGATTACTATGAAGATCTATGAAGGAAAACCTCCATTCTCCACCTTCCACCGGGCTCCAACCTCTCAGAGGGGTCGTCTTTTCAGAAGTGACTGACTTCTCCCCCCCCGATCTCTGCCGGAGGTCTCTTCAACCCGGGCGGCTGGAAGAGGGAAAACTGAGAGGAGCCCAACGGCCCGAAGACGGTGTGCAGCTTCACGGAGAAGGCCTCAGCGGCTTCACGGAGGTCTCGTTTCGTCTGCGGAACTCAGACCTAAAAGGACTCGGTTGGTGGTCTCGGTTGGTCTTTTTGGGAGAAAAAGAGGGCCGGGGAGGATATAAGTGGTGCCCCCCGCAGTTTTGCGGGGGTTGAAGATTGTTGAAGCTGTTTGCTCATGTCGTGATACTGGTGATACTGTGATGCTCAGCTTCGCCAAGGAAAAAATCGAGTGCCTAATGGAATGGTGGATGAATGCTCACGCAAGAAAGGGGAGATCACTTCAAATTACTTGCTTGAGGATTTCCATTGATTTCAACCAACACCGACAAGTCCCCGAGGTCCTCGTGTGATTACTCATTTATAACTGATATCAATATAAATAAAGTAATATACATAATAAATATAAATAATTATCCTTCCTAACAACTTGCAACAAGCAAAAGCAAGTGGCCTCCAAGAAGAAAAGACACAGGGTCTATGATGGTCTAAGCCCTGCGTTGGCATGAAAAGGAACAAACAAGTCCGCTTACAGATCTTCTTACAGGATATTGATCAGCAGATTTCATCGCAAACCAGCACCGGGTGTTCCACTACCTTTGTTTGGCCCAAGCACCATTATCAGTGGCACCTGGCACTTGAGAGGACGTTAAGACAGAATTATGGTGGATTGAGAGTTTGAGTAGATGGCACGGACCCAAAACGAGGTTTATATGGACATCTTGGGGTCTCTGAATTTCTTGGGGTCTCTGAACCTCTTCAGGTCTCTGAACCCTCTGAACTATGTGTTCCAACGTGGTCCGGAGAGGACAGAACCTGGAGCTCCAGCTCGAACTGTGCGTTGGTTTTTCGACCCATCCAGTGGATGGATGGAGTATAGCAACCAAAAATATATAGAAAATGGTACCCTGACATGGAAATCCAGGGCTTCTCATCGTTCAGGTCATTGTCATCCATCCATCAATGTTTCTTGAGATTTCAAGATGCTCCCAGATCTTCAAGCGCTAAGTAACGGTATCAACGTGTGGTTTTTCGTTACAGCGAAGCTTCCTTGCAACAGATTTGATGAACACCACACCCTTCAGTATACAACATGAAACATAGGTCAGTATAGGTCTGTGCATTCGGACAATATTGACTCAACTGGCTATAAACCTGTCCGCTTGCGCACCAAAACAGCCAAGCCACTGGCAAGAAGCAACCTGGCAAGGGCAGCTCGCAGTCTGTGAACACTCTTGGTCTCCTCTTTGCAACTAGTGATCTGAGAGGATTACGAAAGAGAAGCCGCTCAGAACGAGGACTTCAGGCGGAGGCCAAACTTGCTCTGACTGTCTTGAACTATAAGTACAAGCCAGATCAAGCCAGACTTGGATCCCAACAAATCCTACATGGCAAAATAAGACCTGCTGAGTCTGCATCTTTACCAAACACCTCGAGGCCTTTCTCCCAACATTTTGGTCAAACTGCCTTCATCGAGTCTCAGCACCTTCTGGTGAAAACCGATAATCTACCGAAACGAGAGGCGCCTCATCGACTGATTTTCATAACAAAACGAGTCCATTTGAAAGACTATGGTAAATTATGTATCTTCATGTGTCTTCTGTATACCATGATGAGTCGATACATTTTTGTCGGGGGTTGCTGATGGTGCCTTCCCAGTCCAGCCGAAGCATCCAAAAAACAACGTGTAGTCTTGGTCAAACTCTTCAGCGTTCACCACTCTTGACTACACTACGAGCTCCACCTGGATATCCAACGTCGCATGTTAATACCAGTAACAAAGGGACAGCCCCAACCGACCCCAAGAGAACATATGAGAGAAATTACTTTACTTCGAGTGATCCCCACCATGACATTTCAATCATTTGTCTTGATGCCATAGTGAGGAGCATGTTGCCATGGTCGTGAGTATTGTAGTTCTCGATTTTGGTTGTGGGTCCTCGGGTTGTGTGCTGTGGTTGTGTGTTGTGCTTGTGGTTGTGTGTTTGTGGTTGTGCGTGTGTGTGTTTGTGATTGTGTGTTTGTGATTCGCGATTGTGTTTGTGGTTGCGTGTTTGTGGTTGTGTGTTTGTGGTTGTGTTCGTGGTTGTGTTTGTGGTTGTGTGTTTGTGGTTGTGTGTTTGTGGTGGTGTGTGTGATTGTGTCTGTGGTTGTGTGTTTGTGATTGTGTGTTTGTAGTTGTGGTTGTGGTTGTGTGTTTGTGGTTGTGTGTTTGTGGTTGTGTTTGTGGTTGTGTGCCGTGGTCGAGGTCCGGCAGGGAACACTGGGCGTGGATGGTCGTGGTTGAGATCCGGCGGAGGAGGACGAGGAGGACGAGGAGGAGAAGGAAGGAAGGGACGAAGGAAGGAAGGAAGGAAGATGGGGCTGACATAAAATCTAACAACCCTCACCTGACAGGTGGGGAAAAACAAGGAAATTCCAGAAAGTGCGATTAGTTCCAAGCACTGCTGATTCGATTTATCAGAGAGTCCCGAGAGTTGTTTTTTCTTGACGCAACAGCAAAGACACACGTCCTTTCTTTCGATTCTGTTGGCCTTTTCAATCGTTGCAGTGGGTAAAATGATCTTTGCTTTTAAAAACACACGAATATCATATATACTATAATAATATGTAATAATTAATATATATATATATATAGTAATATATTTTTGTCATCTCGCCCCCGGCTTCGCTCGAGTTTCGCCTACAATGCACAAGGCCAACGTGAGGACGAGGCCAGGACCAATCAACAACTGCCTCAGCCACAGTGGACCCTCCACACAATGAAAGCAAAGGCCATCGCTACTAGGGGCTCCTGGCATCGCTACTAGGAGCAAGGACGCT